TCCAAGGAGCAGGGCCCTCGAACCCCTCGTGTATTGTATTGTATTGTATTGTTACTGTATTGTCTAATGTACTGTCCCCCACTATAATGTACAGCGCTGAGCAAACTTTTTGGCGCTATATAAATCCTGTATAATAATAATAATAATATTTGCTGCCTATAATTTGTGCAGCAACTCTTTCTGGTGAGTAATAAACAAATAAAGTGCTGCGTTATAACCTAGCATATGCCAAAAACCTAAATAGTCATTATATAAATGTGAAAAATAAACACCCGACAGAGCCACTGCAAAGCCTATGAACATAGTATCATCAGTTAAAGTGTATAAAAGCTAAATAACCCTGTGTAGAAAACAAGGTAAAAACAATAAAGTATGACTAAATGAACACCCGGCAGACGCCGGTATTGACAATATAGTAAACACCCGGCCGATCAATAATTCTTAGCTGTGCAGGTGAGTAAAGGTGCTTAACATGAATGAACAATGACAAAGTGATCAAATGAATAAAATAACAAATAAATAGAAAATAAAGGTGATCAATACACCATAACAGTCCCATGTATTTATAAGTCCTGCTCAAAATTCCAATAGTAAGCCAGTGATCAAAGGATCTATTTCTTGATACACCGCTGTGTCACCACCACCAGGCGTGCACGCTCACCTCCACGAATTGACCATTGGTCAAAAAGTACTCAATCCAACTCCTCTTTATAATCAGGCTGGTGGGCATCACGTCCTACTCAGGGCTAATGGGCATCTCTTCTGGACAGTGAGCAACTGCAGGATGTGCTCAAATATAAAGAGAAAGGCCTCTCATAGTGCAACCCATTTTATTTTTCCACTCATACATGAAATTAAATCACAGGCATATGAAGATATCAGGGCAAAAACCTTCATACAACATATCACTGGGGTAAACAAAGATGGCAGCGATCGTCGCCGTACCGGAAATGATGTCACCACACTTACCTCCAATGCGTTGTGTAACGCATCACGTGACTTCTTCAGGAATAGGAATCAGATGAATAAAGGGCACATTATATAGAGCTAGGTCCTGGCAAAGTGGTTATATAATTAATAAGTATTTCCGGTGGACACCATGATGTTGAAGACCAGCAACAACATCCATAGATACAGTATCTCACAGAAGTGAGTACACCCCTCACATTTTTGTAAATATTTTATTATATCTTTTCATGTTACAACACTGAAGAAATTACACTTTGCTACAATGTAAAGTAGTGAGTGTACAGCTTGTAGTGTACAGCTTGTATAACAGTGTAAATTTGCTGTTCCCTCAAAATAACTCAACACACAGCCATTAATGTCTAAACCAGTGGTCGGCAAGCCGCGGCTCGCGAGCCACATGCGGCTCTTTACCCAGTCTAATGCGGCTCTTCTGTGTGCCGGGCGCCTGCTCCCCTCCTCCTCTCGGTCGGCCGCTCCCCTGCCTCCTCTCGGTTGGCAGCCCCAAAAGTCCGCGCGGACCTTTTAATCCGGCTTGCGGATGTGGCTGTCAGGATGTGTGTAGGCGGGGGCAGCGTGCCGAACGTGAGGGGAGGGGAGCTAGGCTCCTCTCACAGTCCGCCCTGAAGACCCGAACGGCGCGCGGGAAGACAGCGAGAGGAACGCAAAAGGTAAGTGAATTGACACGGGGGACTTGGCTTACTAGAAGGGGGGGGGGGGAATAGTACTGTGGGGGATGAAATACTATATGAGGGATGAATTACTTTATGAGGGATGAAATACTATATGGGGGGATGAAATACTATATGGGGGATGAATTACTATATCAGGGATGAATTACTATATGGGGATGAAATACTATATGGGGGGATGAAATACTATATGGGGGGATGAAATACTATATGGGGGGATGAATTACTATATGAGGGATGAAATACTATATGGGGGGATGAAATACTATATGAGGGATGAAATACTATATGGGGGATGAATTACTATATGAGGGATGAATTACTGTATGAGGGATGAAATACTATATGGGGGGATGAAATACTATATGAGGGATGAAATACTATATGAGGGATGAAATACTATATGGGGGGATGAAATACTATATGGGGGATGAAATACTATATGAGGGATGAAATACTATATGAGGGATGAAATACTATATGAGGGATGAATTACTATATGAGGGATGAAATACTATATGGGGGGATGAAATACTATATGGGGGGATGAAATACTATATGGGGGGATGAAATACTATATGAGGGATGAATTACTATATGAGGGATGAAATACTATATGGGGGGATGAAATACTATATGGGGGGATGAAATACTATATGAGGGATGAATTACTATATGGGGGGATGAAATACTATATGAGGGATGAATTACTATATGAGGGATGAAATACTATATGAGGGATGAAATACTATATGGGGGGATGAAATACTATATGAGGGATGAAATACTATATGGGGGGATGAAATACTATATGAGGGATGAAATACTATATGAGGGATGAATTACTATATGGGGGATGAAATACTATATGAGGGATGAAATACTATATGGGGGATGAAATACTATACGGGGGATGAAATACTATACGGGGGATGAAATACTATACGGGGGATGAAATACTATACGAGGGATGAAATACTATACGGGGGATGAATTGCTATGGGGGATGAATTACTATATGGGGGATGAATTACTATGGGGGATGAATTACTATATGGAGGATGAATTACTATATGGGGGATGAATTACTATATGGGGGATGAATTACTATGGGGGATGAATTACTATGGGGGATGAATTACACTATGGGGGATGAATTACACTATGGGGGATGAATTACTATATGGGGGATGAATTACTATGGGGGATGAATTACTATATGGGAGATGTATTTTCAGTTTTAAAAATGTGGCTCTCAAAATAAATTTCAATCATGGTTTTGGCGAGATTTGGCTCAGTTGAAAAAAAAGGTTGCCCACCACTGGTCTAAACCATTGGCAACAAAAGGGAATACACCCTAAGTGCAAATGTCCAAATTGGGCCCAAAGTGTCAATATTTTTTTTGTGGCCACCATTATTTTCCAGCACTGCCTTAACCCTCTTGGGTATGGCGTTCACCTGAGCTTCACAGGTTGCCACTGGAGTCCTCTTCCACTCCTCCATGACGACATCGTGGAGCTGGTGAATGTTAGAGACTTTGCGCTCCTCCACCTTCCGTTTAAGGGTGCCCCACAGATGCTCAAAAGGGTTTAGGTCTGGAGACATGCTTGGTCAGTCAATCACCTTTACCCTCAGCTTCTTTAGCAAGGCAGTGGTCGTCTTGGAGGTGTGTTTTGGGGTTGTTATCATGTTGGAATACTACCCTGTGGCCTAGTCTTCGAAGGGAGGGGAACATGCTCTGCTTCAGTATGTCACAGTACATGTTGGCATTCATGGTTCCCTCAATGAACTGTAACTCCCCAGTGCCGGCAGCACTCATGCAGCTCCAGACCATCACACTCCCACCACCTTGCTTGACTATAGGCAAGACACACTTGTCTTTGTACTCCTCATCGGGTTGCTGCCACACATGCTTGACACCATCTGAACCAAATAAGTTTATCATGGTCTCATCAGACCACAGGACATGTTTCCAGTAATCCATGTCCTTAGTCTGCTTGTCTTCAGCACACTGTTTGCGGCTTTCTTGTGCATCATCTTTAGAAGAGGCTTCCTTCTGATACGACAGACATGCACACCAATTTGATGCAGTGTGTGGCGTATGGTCTGAGCACTGACAGGCTGACCCACACCCCCTCAAGCTCTGCAGCAATGCCGGTAGCACTCATTCGTCTATTTCCCAAAGGCAACCTCTGGATATGATGCTGTGCACGTGCACTCAGCTTCTTTGGTCGACCATGGCAAGGCCTGTTCTGAGTGGAACCTGTCCTGTGAAACCGCTGTATGGTCTTGGCCACCATGCTGCAGCTCAGTTTCAGGGTCTTGGCAATCTTCTTATAGCCTAGGGCATCTTTATGTAGCGCAACAATTCTTTTTTTCAGATCCTCAGAGAGTTCTTTGCCATGAGGTGCCATGTTGAACTTCCAGTGACCAGTATCAGAGAGTGAGAATGATAACACCAAATTTAACACGTCTGCCCCCCAATCACACCTGAGACCTTGTAACACTAACGAGTCACCAGTGAGGGAAAATGACTAATTGGGCCTAATTTGGACATTTTAACTTAGGGGTGTACTCACTTTTGTTGCCAGCGGTTTAGACATTAATGGCTGTGTTGAGTTATTTTGAGGGGACAGCAAATTTACACTGTTATACAAGCTGTACGCTCACTACTTTTACATTGTAGCAAAGTGTAATTTCTTCAGTGTTGTCACATGAAAAGATATAATAAAATATTTACAAAAATGTGAGGGGTGTACTCACTTTTGTGACATACTGTAATAGCTAAAAATATGTGAATAGCCCCATATACAAGGATCGCTATAATAATACATAGCTAAAAAAGGCTTAAAAACAGAGAATAAAATTACATATATAAAATAAAATAAGGTCTCCATAACAAAAATCCACTCCTCCTCTCCAGTAGGGGCAATATTTCTCAATACCCAGGAATATCAGTCCTGTTGGATCTCTATTATGATATAGGGTGAAATGCTTTGAAATACTATGTTTGAGGTAACCCTTCTTGATATTCTGAACATGTTCTCCTAGACATTTCCACAATGATCTCTTGGTTCTTCCGATATATTGGGTCCCACATGGACACTGGAGGGCATACACCTCCCCCTCAGTTCTACATGAGCGAAGAAATGAAAAATTCGATTCGACTGATTCGGCGAATTCGTGGACAATATTCGATTCGAGTCGAATAAATTCGCTGTGAATTTAACTTAAAAAAGGGTGTTTCTAGGCTTCAGAGAGACTTAATATTAGTGCAGAACACTGTACCTTTAATTTAAATGCCCTTGGAGTCTGCTGGGGAAGAGAAATAATACTGTCACTCAGTATGACATGCAGATGAGTGCCGTCGATCTTAGAATCACCGCACACTTCACTCATTTGGCCAGTCACGGGGCCAAAACCAGTGTTTGGAGCCACAGTGTGGCGGTGGAGGCAGCAGCAATGGGAGGCCATACAGCAACCTATGACAAAATGGAAACCAGCAGGAGTGTGAGGAGACCTGAAAGTGGCACATGGCAGAGTGGGAGCAATGGGAGGCGGTACAGGGACCCAGGTCACACTGTGGGCCCAGCAGCAGCGTGACCAGGCGGTACGGGGGCCCATGGCAGATTTGGGGCCTGGCAGCACCTATGGGAGGCCTGTAATCTGCCAGCACCCTATGACAAAATGGAACCCTGGGCTGGGGCAGGCAGAACCGCCGTATCTTTATCACGGTTTTCCCAGGCCACCGAATGGCGACGCTGCATATGCTGACGCAACGCTGTGTCCCAACATGGGCCCCCTGGCCACGCTTGACTTTCTGGCCACATAGTCGACATACGGCTACGTTTACTTCCTCGGGCGGCTTGACGAAAAATTGCCACACCGCAGAGTAGGAAACTTTGCCTCCGCTACTCCTCACTGGCTGACTGCTACTTCCTCCGTGCACACCGGCACCACTACTGGCCGTGGTGGTAGGCTGCAGTGGAGCTGGTGCTCTACTCTCCGTGGCCGTTTGCCTCCACTGACACTGCTGCGACCCTGCTGCCTCCTGGCAGCAGCAATGGGAGGCCGTACAGGGACCCATGAGAGACTCTGGACTTGGCAGCAGCATGAGGAGGCGGTATATAGGGGCCCATGGCAGATTAGGGGCCTGGCAGCAGCTATGGGAGGCCCGTAATCTGCCAGCACCCTATGTCAAAAAATTCAACACAACAGCAGTGTGTGAAGAGACCTGAAAGTGGCACATGGCAGAGTGTGGCGATGGAAACAGCAGCAATGGGAGGCCGTACAGGGACCCATGAGAGACTCTGGACTTGGCAGCAGCATGAGGAGGCGGTATATAGGGGCCCATGGCAGATTAGGGGCCTGGCAGCAGCTATGGGAGGCCCGTAATCTGCCAGCACCCTATGTCAAAAAATTCAACACACACAGCAGCAGTGTGTGAGGAGACCTGAAAGTGGCACATGGCAGAGTGTGGCGATGGAGACAGCAGCAATGGGAGGCCGTACAGGGACCCATGAGAGACTCTGGACTTGGCAGCAGCATGAGGAGGCGGTATATAGGGGCCCATGGCAGATTAGGGGCCTGGCAGCAGCTATGGGAGGCCCGTAATCTGCCAGCACCCTATGTCAAAAAATTCAACACACACAGCAGTGTGAAGAGACCTGAAAGTGGCACATGGCAGAGTGTGGCGATGGAGACAGCAGCAATGGGAGGCCGTACAGGGACCCATGAGAGACTCTGGACTTGGCAGCAGCATGAGGAGGCGGTATATAGGGGCCCATGGCAGATTAGGGGCCTGGCAGCAGCTATGGGAGGCCCGTAATCTGCCAGCACCCTATGTCAAAAAATTCAACACAACAGCAGTGTGTGAGGAGACCTGAAAGTGGCACATGGCAGAGTGTGGCGATGGACAGCAGCAATGGGAGGCCGTACAGGGACCCATGAGAGACTCTGGACTTGCAGCAGCATGAGGAGGCGTATATAGGGGCCCATGGGCAGATTAGGGGCCTGGCAGCAGCTATGGGAGGCCCGTAATCTGCCAGCACCCTATGTCAAAAAATTCAACACACACAGCAGTGTGTGAGGAGACCTGAAAGTGGCACATGGCAGAGTGTGGCGATGGAGACAGCAGCAATGGGAGGCCGTACAGGGACCCATGAGAGACTCTGGACTTGGCAGCAGCATGAGGAGGCGGTATATAGGGGCCCATGGCAGATTAGGGGCCTGGCAGCAGCTATGGGAGGCCCGTAATCTGCCAGCACCCTATGTCAAAAAAAATAACACACAGCAGCAGTGTGTGAGGAGACCTGAAAGTGGCACATGGCAGAGTGTGGCGATGGAGACAGCAGCAATGGGAGGCCGTACAGGGACCCATGAGAGACTCTGGACTTGGCAGCAGCATGAGGAGGCGGTATATAGGGGCCCATGGCAGATTAGGGGCCTGGCAGCAGCTATGGGAGGCCCGTAATCTGCCAGCACCCTATGTCAAAAAATTCAACACACAGCAGCAGTGTGAGAGAGACCTGAAAGTGGCACATGGCAGAGTGTGGCGATGGAGACAGCAGCAATGGGAGGCCGTACAGGGACCCATGAGAGACTCTGGACTTGGCAGCAGCATGAGGAGGCGGTATATAGGGGCCCATGGCAGATTAGGGGCCTGGCAGCAGCTATGGAGGCCCCGTAATCTGCCAGCACCCTATGTCAAAAAATTCAACACACACCAGCAGTGTGTGAGGAGACCTGAAAGTGGCACATGGCAGAGTGTGGCGATGAGACAGCAGCAATGGGAGGCCGTACAGGGACCCATGAGAGACTCTGGACTTGGCAGCAGCATGAGGAGGCGGTATATAGGGGCCCATGGCAGATTAGGGGCCTGGCAGCAGCTATGGGAGGCCCGTAATCTGCCAGCACCCTATGTCAAAAAATTCAACACACCAGCAGTGTGTGAGGAGACCTGAAAGTGGCACATGGCAGAGTGTGGCGATGGAGACAGCAGCAATGGGAGGCCGTACAGGGACCCATGAGAGACTCTGGACTTGGCAGCAGCATGAGGAGGCGGTATATAGGGGCCCATGGCAGATTAGGGGCCTGGCAGCAGCTATGGGAGGCCCGTAATCTGCCAGCACCCTATGTCAAAAAATTCAACACACAGCAGTGTGTGAGGAGACCTGAAAGTGGCACATGGAGAGTGTGGCGATGGAGACAGCAGCAATGGGAGGCCGTACAGGGACCCATGAGAGACTCTGGACTTGGCAGCAGCATGAGGAGGCGGTATATATAGGGGCCCATGGCAGATTAGGGGCCTGGCAGCAGCTATGGGAGGCCCGTAATCTGCCAGCACCCTATGTCAAAAAATTCAACACAACAGCAGTGTGTGAGGAGACCTGAAAGTGGCACATGGCAGAGTGTGGCGATGGAGACAGCAGCAATGGGAGGCCGTACAGGGACCCATGAGAGACTCTGGACTTGGCAGCAGCATGAGGAGGCGGTATAGGGGGCCCATGGCAGATTAGGGGCCTGGCAGCAGCTATGGGAGGCCCGTAATCTGCCAGCACCCTATGTCAAAAAATTCAACACACAGCAGTGTGTGAGGAGACCTGAAAGTGGCACATGGCAGAGTGTGGCGATGGAGACAGCAGCAATGGGAGGCCGTACAGGGACCCATGAGAGACTCTGGACTTGGCAGCAGCATGAGGAGGGCGGTATATAGGGGCCCATGGCAGATTAGGGGCCTGGCAGCAGCTATGGGAGGCCCGTAATCTGCCAGCACCCTTGTCAAAAAATTCAACACACAGCAGTGTGAGGAGACCTGAAAGTGTGGCACATGGCAGAGTGTGGCGATGGAGACAGCAGCAATGGGAGGCCGTACAGGGACCCATGAGAGACTCTGGACTTGGCAGCAGCATGAGGAGGCGGTATATAGGGGCCCATGGCAGATTAGGGGCCTGGCAGCAGCTATGGGGCCCGTAATCTGCCAGCACCCTATGTCAAAAAATTCAACACACCAGCAGTGTGTGAGAGACCTGAAAGTGGCACATGGCAGAGTGTGGCGATGGAGACAGCAGCAATGGGAGGCCGTACAGGGACCCATGAGAGACTCTGGACTTGGCAGCAGCATGAGGAGGCGGTATATAGGGGCCCATGGCAGATTAGGGGCCTGGCAGCAGCTATGGGAGGCCCGTAATCTGCCAGCACCCTATGTCAAAAAATTCAACACACCAGCAGTGTGTGAGGAGACCTGAAAGTGGCACATGGCAGAGTGTGGCGATGGAGACAGCAGCAATGGGAGGCCGTACAGGGACCCATGAGAGACTCTGGACTTGGCAGCAGCATGAGGAGGCGGTATATAGGGGGGCCCATGGCAGATTAGGGGCCTGGCAGCAGCTATGGGAGGCCCGTAATCTGCCAGCACCCTATGTCAAAAAATTCAACACACCAGCAGTGTGTGAGGAGACCTGAAAGTGGCACATGGCAGAGTGTGGCGATGGAGACAGCAGCAATGGGAGGCCGTACAGGGACCCATGAGAGACTCTGGACTTGGCAGCAGCATGAGGAGGCGGTATATAGGGGCCCATGGCAGATTAGGGGCCTGGCAGCAGCTATGGGAGGCCCGTAATCTGCCAGCACCCTATGTCAAAAAATTCAACACAACAGCAGTGTGTGAGAGACCTGAAAGTGGCACATGGCAGAGTGTGGCGATGGAGACAGCAGCAATGGGAGGCCGTACAGGGACCCATGAGAGACTCTGGACTTGGCAGCAGCATGAGGAGGAGGCGTATATAGGGGCCCATGGCAGATTAGGGGCCTGGCAGCAGCTATGGGAGGCCCGTAATCTGCCAGCACCCTATGTCAAAAAATTCAACACACCAGCAGTGTGTGAGGAGACCTGAAAGTGGCACATGGCAGAGTGTGGCGATGGAGACAGCAGCAATGGGAGGCCGTACAGGGACCCATGAGAGACTCTGGACTTGGCAGCAGCATGAGGAGGCGGTATATAGGGGCCCATGGCAGATTAGGGGCCTGGCAGCAGCTATGGGAGGAGGCCCGTAATCTGCCAGCACCCTATGTCAAAAAATTCAACACACCAGCAGTGTGTGAGGAGACCTGAAAGTGGCACATGGCAGAGTGTGGCGATGGAGACAGCAGCAATGGGAGGCCGTACAGGGACCCATGAGAGACTCTGGACTTGCAGCAGCATGCATGGAGGCGGTATATAGGGGCCCATGGCAGATTAGGGGCCTGGCAGCAGCTATGGGAGGCCCGTAATCTGCCAGCACCCTATGTAAAAATTCAACACACCAGCAGTGTGAGAGAGACCTGAAAGTGGCACATGGCAGAGTGTGGCGATGGAGACAGCAGCAATGGGAGGCCGTACAGGGACCCATGAGAGACTCTGGACTTGGCAGCAGCATGAGGAGGCGGTATATAGGGGCCCATGGCAGATTAGGGGCCTGGCAGCAGCTATGGGAGGCCCGTAATCTGCCAGCACCCTATGTCAAAAAATTCAACACACAGCAGCAGTGTGAGGAGACCTGAAAGTGGCACATGGCAGAGTGTGGCGATGGAGACAGCAGCAATGGGAGGCCGTACAGGGACCCATGAGAGACTCTGGACTTGGCAGCAGCATGAGGAGGCGGTATATAGGGGCCCATGGCAGATTAGGGGCCTGGCAGCAGCTATGGGGGCCCGTAATCTGCCAGCACCCTATGTCAAAAAATTCAACACACCAGCAGTGTGTGAGGAGACCTGGCACAGGGCAGAGTGTGCACATGCAATGGAGGCCGTACCAATGGGACCCATGAGAGACTCTGGACTTGGCAGCAGCATGAGGAGGCGGTATATAGGGGCCCATGAGATTAGTGGCAGTGTGTGAGAGACCTGGCACATGGCAGAGTGTGGCGATGGAGACAGCAGCAATGGGAGGCCGTACAGGGACCCATGAGAGACTCTGGACTTGGCAGCAGCATGAGGAGGCGGTATATAGGGGCCCATGGCAGATTAGGGGCCTGGCAGCAGCTATGGGGGCCCGTAATCTGCCAGCACCCTATGTCAAAAAATTCAACACACAGCAGTGTGAGAGACCTGAAAGTGGCACATGGCAGAGTGTGGCGATGGAGACAGCAGCAATGGGAGGCCGTACAGGGACCCATGAGAGACTCTGGACTTGGCAGCAGCATGAGGAGGCGGTATATAGGGGCCCATGGCAGATTAGGGGCCTGGCAGCAGCTATGGGAGGCCCGTAATCTGCCAGCACCCTATGTCAAAAAATTCAACACACCAGCAGTGTGTGAGGAGACCTGAAAGTGGCACATGGGCAGAGTGTGGCGATGGAGACAGCAGCAATGGGAGGCCGTACAGGGACCCATGAGAGACTCTGGACTTGGCAGCAGCATGGAGGCGGTATATAGGGGCCATGGCAGATTAGGGGCCTGGCAGCAGCTATGGGAGGCCCGTAATCTGCCAGCACCCTATGTCAAAAAATTCAACACACAGCAGTGTGAGGAGACCTGAAAGTGGCACATGGCAGAGTGTGGCGATGGAGACAGCAGCAATGGGAGGCCGTACCGTACAGGGACCCATGAGAGACTCTGGACTTGGCAGCAGCATGAGGAGGCGGTATATAGGGGCCCATGGCAGATTAGGGGCCTGGCAGCAGCTATGGGAGGCCCGTAATCTGCCAGCACCCTATGTCAAAAAATTCAACACACCAGCAGTGTGTGAGGAGACCTGAAAGTGGCACATGGCAGAGTGTGGCGATGGAGACAGCAGCAATGGGAGGCCGTACAGGGACCCATGAGAGACTCTGGACTTGGCAGCAGCATGAGGAGGCGGTATATAGGGGCCCATGGCAGATTAGGGGCCTGGCAGCAGCTATGGGAGGCCCGTAATCTGCCAGCACCCTATGTCAAAAAATTCAACACACCAGCAGTGTGTGAGAGACCTGAAAGTGGCACATGGCAGAGTGTGGCGATGGAGACAGCAGCAATGGGAGGCCGTACAGGGACCCATGAGAGACTCTGGACTTGGCAGCAGCATGAGGAGGCGGTATATAGGGGCCCATGGCAGATTAGGGGCCTGGCAGCAGCTATGGGAGGCCCGTAATCTGCCAGCACCCTATGTCAAAAAAATTCAACACACAGCAGTGTGAAGGAGACCTGAAAGTGGCACATGGCAGAGTGTGGCGATGGAGACAGCAGCAATGGGAGGCCGTACAGGGACCCATGAGAGACTCTGGACTTGGCAGCAGCATGAGGAGGCGGTATATAGGGGCCCATGGCAGATTAGGGGCCTGGCAGCAGCTATGGGAGGAGGCCCGTAATGCCAGCAGCACCCTATGTCAAAAAATTCAACACACAGCAGTGTGTGAGGAGACCTGAAAGTGGCACATGGCAGAGTGTGGCGATGGAGACAGCAGCAATGGGAGGCCGTACAGGGACCCATGAGAGACTCTGGACTTGGCAGCAGCATGAGGAGGCGGTATATAGGGGCCCATGGCAGATTAGGGGCCTGGCAGCAGCTATGGGAGGCCCGTAATCTGCCAGCACCCTATGTCAAAAAATTGAACACACACAGCAGTGTGAAGAGACCTGAAAGTGGCACATGGCAGAGTGTGGCGATGGAGACAGCAGCAATGGGAGGCCGTACAGGGACCCATGAGAGACTCTGGACTTGGCAGCAGCATGAGGAGGCGGTATATAGGGGCCCATGGCAGATTAGGGGCCTGGCAGCAGCTATATGGAGGGCCCGTAATCTGCCAGCACCCTATGTCAAAAAATTCAACACACCAGCAGTGTGTGAGGAGACCTGAAAGTGGCACATGTTGAGGCATGATTCATGGCGGATTTAGTTTCAGTCAGTTGTGTCAGGAACTGGTGGTTTGAAATCCAGACTAATCCACGCCTGATTCATTTTCACAAACGTGAGTCTCTCCACACTTTGGGTGGACAGTCGTGTCCTCCGCGGAGTTACAATACCTCCTGCCGCACTAAACACGCGCTCCGATGCCACGCTACTGGCCGGGCATGACAGCCTTTCAAGGGCAATTTCAGCTAGTTGGGGCCAAAGGTCAAGTTTCGTTGCCCAGTAGTCAAGGGGATTGTCTACCTCGGTTGGCAGGGTGCTGTCCAAGTAGGCCCAAGCCTGTTGTTTGAGCTCCTGCTCCAGGTCCACCTGATGCTGCTGCTGCTGCTGCGGCTGGTTAGTAGTTTCCTCACTGCGCTGGTGAAGAAAGCTACTCATCATCGACTGCAGACTGAGGCAGCCGCTGCTGGTGGAGCTGCCACTGCTCCACCACCACCCCACCCCTCCCCTGCTGCCATGCCAGCGGAACGCGAGCGCACAGGGCCCACAGTGTCTGAGGATGGACGTTGGCGCACAAAGGCAGAGACCAACTGACTACATAGGTGGTTTTTATAGTACGTAATTTTGGCCTCCCTCTCAGCAGGTGTGAAAAAGGCCACCATTTTGGACCGGTAGCGAGGGTCCAACAAGGTGGACAGCCAAAAGTCATCCCTCTGTCTGATGGTTATTATTCGGCTGTCGCTACGCAAGCAACCGAGCATGCTATGGGCCATTTGTGCCAAGGAATGCGAGGGACTCCCTGCCTCCATCTCCACAGCATACTGCCACGGTGCGTCTGGGTCCTCTGTCTCCTCCTCCTCCTCCTCTACCAGATGCTCCTGCTCCTCCCACTCCTGTCCGCTGAGTGGAAAAACCACCCATTTCACTCAATAATTCCTGAGCACAAATGTCCTCCTCTACCTCCTCCTCCTCTTCTTCCTGTCCTGCCCCCACAGGGGTCATGTGGCGTTGAGATCTGTGCGCCACGTCTACCGCACCCTGACCAGCCATTGTTAACAGCATTTGTTCCAGGACGTGCAACAGAGGAATGACGTCGTTCATCCCATAGTCCTGCCGACTCACGAATAGCGTGGCCTCCTCAAAGGGCCTGAGCAAGCGGCAGGTGTCACGCATGAGCTGCCAATGGCTGACATCTAAAGTTACACAGGGGAGTACCTTTATCCGCTTGTAACATCAGGAAATCGGTGATGGCCTTTCGCTGCTCGTAAAGGCGGTCTAACATGTGTAGGGTTGAATTCCACCTTGTTGCAACGTCGCAGATCAGGCGATGCTGTGGAATTCCGTTCTGCCGCTGCAGCTCAATGAGGGTGTTCTTTGCGGTGTAGGAATGGCTGAAATGCATGCACAGTTTACGTGACATTTTAAGGATGTCTTGCAGTGGGATGGTGGATTTTAGGAACCGCTTGACAACCAGATTGAACACGTGAGCCATGCATGGCGCATGGCACAACCTTCCTTGACGCAGAGCAGACACCATGTTCTTTCCGTTGTCGGTCAACATGGTTCCGATTTTAAGTTTGCGCGGAGACAGCCATCTGTCGATTTCTCTGTTCATTACACTCAGCAGTTTCCTCCCCTGTGTGACTACGTTCGCCAAGGCATACCAGGTGCAGCACAGCGTGACACCGTTGCGCCCTGCACATGTGATATGCCGGTCGGGTAATGGGACTTGGCACGGGGGGGGCGGCTGAGGACACGGCGGAAAAAGAGGTGGTAGAGGCGGACATGTTTGCTGGACCAAGGACGTGCAAACGTGGAGGCAAAAGCGTCGTGACCTGTCCAAGTTGCTGGTGCGGCTGTGCCGGCACCACGTTCACCCAGTGGGCCGTAAATGACATGTACTGTCCCTGACCGTAGTTACAGCTCCACACGTCGGCGCTGCCGTGCACTTTGGCAGAGACCGCATGCTCAAAGACTGGCCCACCATCTCTTCTACATGTGAATGCAGGGCTGGCACTGCCTTTTGGGCAAAGAAATGACGGCTTGGCACTCTCCACCGCGGCGCGGCACAAGCCATCATTTCTCGGAAAGGTGCTGAGTCCACCAGTTGGAAAGGGAGGGACTGCAGCACCAGCAACTTGGACAGGAGGACGTTCAGCTTTTGCACCGTCGGGTGCGTGCTCGCAAACTGTTGTCTCTTGGAAACGGATTCCAAGAAAGACTGTTGACGGAATCCGAGAAGAGGAGTAGCAGGAGAAGGAGCATCTGAACGAGCGGAAGATGCCAACGAGCGACAACTCCCCTCAGCAGAGGTGTTGGAGCCTTGACTGGCTGATAGAGGGTGATTGACGACGTCGGGTGACGGAGCAAGTAACGGAGCGGGTGATGGAGCGGGGGGCTGGGGCAGGCAGAACCGCCGTATCTTTATCACGGTTTTCCCAGGCCAACGAATGTGACGCTGCATATGCTGACGCAACGCTGTAGTCCCAACATGGGCCCCCTGGCCACGCTTGCATTTCTGGCCACATAGTCGACATACATACGGCTACGTTTACTTCCTCGGGCGGCTTGACGAAAAATTGCCACACCACCGAGTAGGAAACTTTGCCCCCGCTACTCCTCACTGGCTGACTGCTACTTCCTCCGTGCGCACCGGCACCACTACTGGCCGTGGTGGTAGGCTGCAGTGGAGCTGGTGCTCTACTCCGTGGCCGTTTGGCTCCACTGACACTGATGCGACCCTGCTGCCTCCTGGGCAACCCACCGACTGTTTCGCTCGCTGCCAAGCTGGCACCCTCTTCTCCTGATGATGCGGAAGAAAAATTGCCTGATGACGACGAGGCAGCCAAGTGCGATCAACCTCCTCATCATCAGGTACGGTCTCCGCCTCACTACTAGCCCCCTCGGCTGCGTCTGGGTCAGGAGACAGACCTGTCTCTAGACCGGCTACAGAGCCACTCTCCTCGCCAGTACTTCTTCGCCTGGCTGCTGAAAAGGCCGATGTCTCCCCCCGTTCCTGACCGCCCTCTGTTAGCTCTTCCTCACTGTACAGTGGGGCTGAGCCCACAGCATGCGATACTTCGCTTGGTGAGGGAACAGCAAAGGACAGGGGCAGGTAGAGGACATGTGATTTCAGTGGGCTTGCTCCCGGGCCATGCCAACTAACGGTTGTGTCTGACGTACCCACCGACCGTTGGCTGTAGGTGTCAGAGGTGACCTGGGAAGAGGAAGACGACCGAGCCAACCAATCAATGACGGCAGGGTTGTCGGTGGAGACACGACCGCTGGATGACACCGGGAGCACTGGCCTCTGGCTGCGAATAGTGCTGCCTCGACCCCTTCCTCTGCTGCCACGTCTGCTCGCTCCTAAAAAATTGCCTCCTCTGCCACTCCTCTGCATGTTGTCTGACATACTCTTTAATTCAACGATTATGTGTCCCTGAGTAACAATTCTCTGGCACTCAGTAACAATTCTGTCTGTCCCTGAGTAAAAATTCTGTGGCCCTAAGTAAAGTTTCTGTGGCCCTGAGTAACAATTCTCTGGCACTCAGTAACAATTCTGTAGTAACAATTCTGTCTGTCCCTGAGTAACAATTCTCTGGCACTCAGTAACAATTCTGTCTGTCCCTGAGTAAAAATTCTGTGGCCCTAAGTAAAGTTTCTGTGGCCCTGAGTAACAATTCTCTGGCACTCAGTAACAATTCTGTCTGTCCCTGAGTAACAATTCTCTGGCACTCAGTAACAATTCTGTCTGTCCCTGAGTAACAATTCTGTGGCCCTAAGTAACAATTCTGTCTGTGTCTGCCCTGAGTAACAATTCTCTGGCACTCCTGTAACAATTCTGTCTGTCCCCTGAGTAACAATTCTGTGGCCCTCAGTAACAATTCTGTGTCCCTAAGTAACAATTCTGTGCCCTGAGTAACAATTCTGTGTCTGTGCCCTGAGTAACAATTCTGTGGCCCTAAGTAACAGTTCTGTGGCCCTCAGTAACAATTCTGTGTAACAATTCTGTGTCCCTGAGTAAAAATTCTGTGGCCTGTTTCTGTGGCCCTGAGTAACAATTCTGTGGCCCTAAGTAACAATTCTTCTGTGGCCCTGAGTAACAATTCTCTGTGTCTGTGTCCCTGAGTAACAATTGGCTGTAACAATTCTGTCTGTGCCCTGAGTAACAATTCTGTGGCCCTAAGTAAAGTTTCTGTGGCCCTGAGTAACAATTCTCTGGCACTCAGTAACAATTCTGTCTGTCCCTGAGTAACAATTCTCTGGCACTCAGTAACAATTCTGTCTGTCCCTGAGTAAAAATTCTGTGGCCCCTAAGTAAAGTTTCTGTGGCCCTGAGTAACAATTCTCTGGCACTCCGTAACAATTCTGTCTGTCCCTGAGTAACAATTCTCTGTGCACTCAGTAACAATTCTTCTGTGTCCCTGAGTAAAAATTCTGTGGCCCTAAGTAAAGTTTCTGTGGCCCTAGTAACAATTCTCTGGCACTCAGTAACAATTCTGTCTGTCCCTGAGTAACAATTCTCTGGCACTCAGTAACAATTCTGTCTGTCCCTGAGTAACAATTCTGTGGCACTCAGTAACAATTCTGTCTGTCCCTGAGTAACAATTCTCTGGCACTCAGTAACAATTCTGTCTGTCCCTGAGTAAAAATTCTGTGGCCCTAAGTAAAGTTTCTGTGGCCCTGAGTAACAATTCTCTGGCACTCAGTAACAATTCTGTCTGTCCCTGAGTAAACAATTCTCTGGCACTCAGTAACAATTCTGTGTCCCTGTAACCTGAGTAAAAATTCTGTGGCCCTA